ACTGAAATATAAATATACAAAATGTGAAACATACATGTGAAATATAAATAAACGATAATTTATTTTTCTTATATATAAAATCAAATTGTTAGATAACATTATAAAACACTTTACATTCTTTTATTTTCCAATATCTATGCCTTATTAATATAATATTCTATGATTATAGAGTTAAAATTTGCATTTAAGTAATGAATATTTGTCTATATACAATCAGTCCATTCAACCACCAAGAATAATATTATAAATAGAAAAACGTAAAAGCAAACTTTCTCGCACTAACAAGCTTAAAGAAATCTTCCATTCTTGCTACTCAATTATAAAGAGAAACATCGTGTTAAAACTTTAGATGTTTAAAATGGTCATCAACTTCCCGACATGACGTCACGAAAGAAATGCGCTATTTGTACGGAAGGGGAAAGTGCAAGGTGTTAAGATCTGCCTCTGGCGATAATTCGCACGAGTCATTCTAGCCCTGATGAGACGCAGTCCTACATAGCCATAGTTCCACGTAATAAAAGAGTTTCTCTGCATGCTTTCTAACCACGCGTTATGCTCGCTATTGTAAACGCGTTTCGTCGACGAAGTGGTCGTTCGCCCAGTACTTATGTTCTTACATTCGTCTACTAATACGATGACAAACTCGATTGTACGTTAACATCAAAGTTCTTATGTTTCATGGCATGTTCTTGCATCATTTTGTCGAGAATTAAAATGTTAGTGGAACATCTCGCACAAATTCTCCTGTTAGAACAATATTTATAAAATATATTATTTTTTTAAAGAATATTGTGTGTATAATATCTTCCCGTCAATAACATCAAAAAATCATCTATGAATCCTATTTTGTGTAATGTGTACTTTCAATTTTACGAATTTCACTTTGATCGAAGTTACATGTATGACTCAATAATTATTTTTTAATTCTGTATTATTATTTTCTTACAAAACGTAATATTTTTTCCTCAAAAACTTAAAACTTTAAATTGATTTTTAATCATTAAGTTTAAATTTAAACTTAAAAATCTATATTATTACAAATATATATAAAATAGAAGAAAGAATAGAAAATAATATAATAAAAAATGTGGATATAGTTACAACCTTATTATAACTTATGTAATATTTTTATACTTTCCCATTATTATGTCACATGTAATTTGCTATTGCATTATTAAGAGAAAATTAGATAATATAAATATCAACTGCGCAGATTGATCAATAAATTTATTAAAAACTATTTAATTACTAAATAAATTATTGCAATTTTTAATTAGATTATAGAATTGTATTATTTAATCAAATTTATATTTTATTTATATTTCTATAATTAAAAATTATTATAAAATTTTACGAAAGTCATATATATCTAAGACAAAATTTTCTCGCAAGATGAAATCCTCCTTGTCAAGGCAATAAAATCTTCGTAATGATTCCGAGAAGCTGGGTATGTAAGACATTTTGAACGCAGGAAACGTTATTTCCGCAGATACGATAAATCGAAATATCTTCTGGGAAATTTCGTTTCCACGATTCTTGAGAAAATTAAAGGAAACTCAGTTGTGCACAAAAGTGACGCGCTACATTGCTCAACATCCCTTATCTCTAATCCCTTTCCCTCATTGACTTTCTTTCTATTTTTCTTGCAGATGCATCTGTCGGCGAAATCGGTGGACGATGATCTTGAATTGCCATGGGACGAAACGTATTGAGGATCTTGCTGCTCCTCTGCTGCATGCTGCAACCGCATGTCGGACAATGTGAGTCTTCCTGCATCAAACCATTCTTCCTTTTTGTTGTGTTCCCATAAGACTCTTCTAAGAAAAATCTTTTGAAAAATCTTTCAAGGGAATTTTATTAAATTTTAATCTTTTTCATCAAATGCAATATAGTTTTCGAGATAAAAATATTTTATTATTAAAAATTTGTTAAATTGCTAGCCAATTAATTCGTGATATTACTGCGATAGTTTAGTAGAGTTAGTGTTTTCAAGACCAAAAAGTCATTTCTGGGGACTATATACGTAATATATAAATTCACACAAGAATCACACAAACATTTAAGATCCAGTTAGATCGTTTAAGATTTTGATTTCTATAATTTGTGTTATTACACATCTGTGGTATATCCTATATAATATTATGGTATATCCTACATAATATTATATTATTTTAATATTATATTATTTTATTATTAAATAGATAAAATACAATTTTAAACAAATAAAATTAAAAAGTAATTGTAGTTCGTTATCCTTCTTTTTCTATACCTTTTCCTTAAAGAATGTCAATGCAGTAATTGAATAAATGAATGAATTGGCATAAAAAATCGAGACATGTTTACAACTTATAAATTTTTTTTAAGTATGCAACTATCTAAAACAGATTTTGCATTATATCACCTATTTCATTTTTCCCTTTACTTAATTTTTATATTTACTTTTTCAAATTGCAAATTGCATAAAAAACGCAATTTATATCTAATAAATCGACTTATAAGACTTGTATTAATCTTTGCGGATATTTTCGCGCACCATCGAACGTGCACTCCCTTTTGCTAGCGAGAAGTCCTCATCTATGCTAGAAAAGGAGTTTACGAAAGGCCAGCGCCGTAACGCTGCGCCGACGATACGCCATGAATTCGCGACCGGAACTCCGCTCCAGGGAAGCGCGCATATCTACCCTCTCGCATACGCGTTAAACAGCCCACGTGTATTCGTCTACGCATCCGATTCGCGTCCTTCCAGCGTCCGAATTCCCGCCGATCAACTGGTAAGAACGAGTAGATGACGCGATGTCCATTTAAGTCTTTGTTGAATTACTCAAAGTGTAATTTTTTAATAAAATTACCTTCCATTAATTGCAACGTATCTCATTACCGTAATAATGACATGAAAGTGTCCAATTAAATCCATAATATAACATTAACCTGTAGCTACGTACAAAATCGTTATTTTGAAAACCATTATAAAATCAATTCTTCCTGATTTTATTTTATTTTATTTTATTTGTTATTTGCTTATTATTGAGACAAAAAGAATAACGATAAGCTCTTTGAACTAAAATGTTAAATTGTAATAAGTATATTTTTACTAAAACGACTATTTTGCTTATCAAGTGATTATGCGTAATTATAGCATTCAATACGCATAAAGCAAACTTGGAAATGTCCGACAGTGGCTATGGCAGTCAAACGAGGCGCAAAAGCGGCTATCATGATTTATGCCAGTATTAGAACAGCTAAAGCACTGTTGTTAGATAAACGGTCTCACCGCCCCTTCTATGCACTTTATGCATAGAAATATAATCATCATAATTTATCCACCTATTATACATAAGAAAATAATATACACATTCATGATAATAATCTAACTCCGTTAGATGTCACATATATGTTTAGCAAATCTTATATTCTCTATCTTATTTATTATAACTTTTCTCTTTTATTTTATTAATTTATTAACTTTTTTCTAAAAATATATCAATATAATATATAA